ATTAACTGTCATATGTGTAGAAAAATTTATAATTATTATTAAAATTTTTCAAAAGAATTAATTTTTCATTTTTTACTAACTATAATATTATAAAAAATATTTTTTAAATTGTATCAATTGCAATTAGAATAGAAATTTATTTTCACTGCTATTTCAAGAAAAACTCTGTATTATTATCTTAATTGAAAGAAAAAGCTGTACGATTTGTTTTCATTATTACATTAGCAGTAGGTAAAATATAGAAGAGAAATAGAAGGAGGAAGAAGACAATTCTAATTATTTTAAGAGAAATCGACCTCTGACTTTTGTATCGTATTGCTACTACCTAAAGTTGCATTAGGAACTTTCAGTACGGCCGAACGTCACCACCTTGCGCCCGACGCATCGCGCTGCACACGGACCAGGCCTCGTGATCTTCACGACTCGACAGGTATTCGGAGCACTTTCACTCGTCGACCGCGAATCAGCTGAACGATGCGCGCACGCGCGCGCACAAGGAATGAGTTTCGCGTCACTGCGCCGCATATCCCAGCATATCCGGGGAAACGGCGACGTTCACGGACAGCAATCGCGAGGAGTCACCGTGCAGTGGGACGAATTCAATGTCTCATGCATCCCTATCGATCCTCCGGCAGCCATGTTCGCATCCCGAGTGAACACTGAACTGCACAACCAATTCGATAATTTTTTGATGAAAATAAAAATTAATATGTATAAATCGAATGTGTAAGAGGAGAACGTAATAGAATAGCGTAAATAAAGAAAGCGAAATTGAAACAACGAAACGTAAAAAAGCATAAATACCTCTTTTACATTTCATTGTCTCAATTTTTGCTTTCAGAAATTTCATTTACGCTTCTGTTACTCTTTCTTTAGATTTATTTTACAACTTTTATTTTGGTTCCAGTAAATTCCTGAATTTCTTGATTAATGAGGCGTCACTGAACCATTGCAAACGATTTAAAGTTTCACCGAACGAGAGAGAGAGAGAGAGAGAGAGAGAGAGAGATTTCTAATTTTTTAAATTAAAATCGGAACTAAATTCGAAAAAAGCGAAGAACTCCCTCCAACGAGATTTTAATTTAAAATTGCAGTCGAAGAAAACAACATCGAAATCGAGATAAAATTAAATATCGAAGATGTTTTGACGCTTCGATTAGTCTATGAAAATTGACAATTTAGCGCATAATTACGGTTATCGTGTAAAAACTTGAAATAAAGAAAGAAATGTGAATTAGTAAAATAAATTATCATTTAAAATTTTCGTGTTTTTTTCTTGACCGATAAGGTTAATTTTCATTTTAAATACAACTATGATGGAAGAGATACATAGTAATTTCATTTTTTTTTCTACACTGTAAAGCCTCAGATACATTGTGAAGAAATAGCGATAGAAATAACACGATTTTAACTTATCAGAAACTCTATATTCCAATGTAACCTGATTTCTGATAGGTTGAAATCATGTTATTGCTATCGCTATCACTTCGCATATGTCTGGGGCTTAAGATCTTGCGCACAATAGAATGAGAAATTAGGAATAAATAATAAACAATTTTAACCTATCAGAAGTCGGATACATCGGAATATACGATTTTTGATAAGTTTGAAATCGTTTAGTCTTTATTCTTAATTTCTTATTCCTTCTATTATGTATGTACAAGGCCTAACACCTTGAGGTCATGGGAGTAAAATTTCGAAACAATTTTATGATCCACCCAGTCCTAATATATTTCGGATTTTTATTTTCATCCATTAACAGTTCAAAAAGCTATTTACATTATTACAAAATACCTTATTGACTTTTATTTTATTAAAATTATTGGAACATATATCATTTATGCCTAATTTTAGGTGTTTACCAGTTCACAATTATTTTAAATACTTATTAATTCGTTAAAATGTTTAATTTTACTTTGTTTGAAGGTAAATTACACTTATTTACAATATTTTTAGAAATTCTTATTATTTCGCTATTAATTAAAGCCTGTTTGAGATTTTTAAAAATATGTCGTGGCTATAATATATAAATACTTGCATCAAATAGGTGTACAATATGATTAACTTCAATATGTGTACCGGTGCTACGTATATCAATGTCTAATAATCTCCAGATGTTCCCCGAATCTATATTGGACGTAATAAAATTTACATGATAACCGATTTCCTCAGTTTTATTTACAATCTGAAAAAAATTATTTCTTTTAATACTTTACTATCAAATTTTTGCTTGTAAAATGGTACCCCACCTGCTTCCAATTATTGCAAACATCACAAGCATAAAAATCGTGGCATGCGTACATACATAGCATCACCTGTATCATTAGGAAATGTTACTTATTTGTGATCCAGTTGAAGGTTATAAGATTTTTTGGATATAATGCACGTTTTGTCAAATATTAACCCACACTAAATCAGTCTCATTTTTAAAATAAGGTTTCTTCATTTTTTGAAATTGTAACATTTGTTCAGATATTTTTGGTTGAAATTGAAAATCTTCTAGTCTTCGCTGTAATGTTCGTACATTTGGAAGTGGATCCTTGACGAATAAGTTCTTTATATCCATTATTTCCGCAAATTTTAATTGTAAAGCACGTTGAATTGTATCATTGGACCACATTCTAACACAATGTTTTTTTGTAAACAAAGCTTTAATCTGGCAGTCAGTAAAAACTGACTGTAAAGCTTTTTTATACTTATTACTAGACTTATTTTTCAAAATGTATATAGTATTCTTTAAAATTTTCATTTTTTTTCGCATTTTAATTATGTTGAGTCGTAGTTTTCGGTTAACATTTTCTAATTTTTTATATCGCTCTTCTCTTTCATTACATTTATCTGAACATTTATCTAGACATATTATTGATGTATTAGTCTCAAATGTATCATCAATTACCTATAAAATTTATTTCAGAATTTTTAATATATTCAGGTATGTTATCTTTTAGTAAATGTTATTATTTCAATCTTACCTGACATTCTTGCTTTTCAATATCACTAATGGATTGTTTCAATTGAATGTTATCAATAGATTGATTTGATTCAGTAAATTTAGTTGTATATGAAGCTGAATATATTGCTGATGTATTACATTTAGATACATTATTAATCACCTAAAAAATTCGTTTTACAATCTTAAATATATCTAAATGTTATCTTTTTGGAAGTTTTATTATTTTAATATTAAGCTGACATTCCTGCTTTTGAATATAAGCAATAGATTCATTTAACTGAATGTTGATAGGTTGATATGATTTATTAGAATCTGTCTTATTATTTATTTGATTATTTTCTGTTAATACTTGTTTAGCATTATTTTCCACTGGTTTTTTTTTCAGAAAATATCCAAATATTGTGGGATATGCATTTGATTTCAATTTTCGTACATCAGTTCTTGGTTCTCACATATCTGGTGCAAAATGTACCTATGTGTACAATAAAAAAAAAGATTAATTTATTCAATAATTATTTTGTTATGAAGAAAATAAAGAAAACTTAGAAAGCCAAAGAATTATTGAAATAATTTGGTAAAATCGTTTAGGGTTAATTACTTTAATCTTGACACATTGCCAAGATCATAATCCTGAATAATATTTAAAAGATTTTAAGCCTTAATAATTTTAACATCTTTGAATTACTAATTTAATATTTGAGACATACAATTAGTATACTAATTACATATAAAAATGAAAAAAAAGTTTATAATAGTTGTATTTTTAATGAAACATATTTTATTAATTTTTTAATAATAAATTTATGCAAATATTATTTAACCTCGCAGAGAAAAGAATTCGTTGCAGGCATCCAATTTTTTTACACCATTTCCCCAACATCTTTCACTAACATTTTTTGCCCATAAAGCACGACGTTCAGCATTTCGAGAAAATGTTTTCATTATGTAGCCTTTAGCTGCTGAATTATTACAAAAGGGGCTGCACACCCAACCATTATTAATACTATTAGTACAGGCTATAAACAGTACAGACTACATCGTACATATGTATGTACCCGACGATGCGTATAGGTACAATTTCATAGATGTGTTCAACGAACTCAACAGTTGAGTGAGTGAATACATTGGTTGCTTTCTAGAACATAAGGCTGTTTTTTCATGCAAATGTCGACGCTCATTTTCAATGTCAAAACAGGTCACGTGATCAAAATTGACGAATACCAAGCATCAATTTTGATCACGTGACATCGAGCGTCAAAGCTGAACTCATATGCTGGATTCACACTAGATCAAGATGTCTTAAGCAATTGGAAAGCACCCATAGTATCTTGTCGGTGACTGTACCTACTACACCTATTACACCCTGACTTTGTTCGTTTTCACAATATGTCTAAATCTATTGAATTACAAAATAGTGACTTTTCTCAAATAAAAATAACAATGGGTTCGGCGGATTCAACAGTTGAGTGAGTTGTTATTGGTGTATTCTTTTAGATCATCCAATCAGCATTTTAAATCTAGAAGAATATATCAATAGCAGCAAGCGCTTCACTCAACTTGAGTTCGCTGAACGCAATGAGGTCTGTTTTCTGTGACTGAACTAGTGTACACTTTTGGAACTTAAAGTGAGATAGATATACGTTCAATCCGCTACAGTTTGATATTTGTTTAAAGCGAGAAAGAAAGTTCTAGAACAGTTTAGTGCAGGAACAGAAAACAGATCAGAAGACATCTTCCCCAAATGATTTCTAATCGATTCCATTCATAAAACACATTAAATAAAATCGCTGTTTGCTAATTCGACGCATGATAAAATTTGTTAATAACAAGAAAAATATATATCGATGTGTCGCATTTTATCGGTAAAATAACGATCTCATCGGAGTTCGGGCTTCACTTTTTTAATCAACTCATCGACACATGCGACGTCGCCATTATCGAAGTTGCCAACTTTACGGCGCTCGATTAACATGGATTTAGGGATCTTTTCTATATAATGGTAATAAAATATTACTAGTAATAGACAATTTCACGACTCGCACGACTGTCAACGGATACTGACGGAGGCTTCGAAAATGCTTCGGCAGACGCGCGTTGATTTCGTTGGTTTATTCGTGTGACTCTGACTGTTTCGGACCCGACTGTAGAAGAGTCGTGGAATCATGTGGCCGATGCGATCGGAGATGACTCGCGACGAGTGCAGGAAGTGCCTACGATGCCTCGGTAAGGTTATGTGGGCTGAATAATAGCCTCGTTTAACGAACGAACCTCATCGATGTGCTGCCTTTCGATTGCATTCCAACTCATGCTGTTCGTAAAAAATTATATCGTGAATGCGAGGCTGCGTTCTTCTGTTGCAGCGACGGCGTTACGTGAAATCATGATTCTCACGTTGCGCGTTTCTCACTGGACGAAAAACTGAGTCCATCAAAAATTTCAGAGAGCCAATGAAGCGTTCAGCAACAGCGGACATGGCTTGGCATAGAAGCATAATTTTCGTCTTGTATTTACTTATTAAACACAGCAGTTGATCTTCATGTCGAATGGATAAGTTGACAGCTTATTTAATATGAAATACAACATTGGAAGACATAAGCCCAACGTCTGGCATTCTTCTGGCAATGCTGGCAGAGTCTGGACGCTGCGGCTATTATTTTATGTTAATATTAGAAAACGACCTTTGTCTTCTCTAGATAATGCGTGGAATTAGACAGCACGTTTAATGGTAAATTATAGCATATATAGTTTTTATTTTAAGCTCATGCCTTGTGTATACGTAAGAAGATAGTCATGTGTATAAGTAAAAAAAAAGTTTTTTAATTATCTCTATTACACATGGACAATTTATACAAATATTTTAATATGAATAAAGATAGAGATATATTTAGTAATATATATGCTTTTAGTATTTTGTATATTTTATGTTTTAATTTTTTTTTTACTTTTTTTTAGTACATAATGTATGCAATAATATTTCATGATATTCAGTCATCAATTTATTCGTATGACACACTTTTTGTGACTTTTTAACATCTCTTGTAAATTTTGGATTTTTCGCAAAAAGAGACATAAAAATGATCCACTTTTGTATCTCGTAATCAGCTATATCTTGAAAGTGCTGTCCATCTGAAGAATGCTGTGTTGATTGGAATAAGTAATTCGAAGGCGGATGAATATATTGCATGCAAGAGAACTTTTTGGTCCAAGTTAAAAATTATATGCTGATAAGGAGAGCTCTCACAGGTATGTATTATGTGAATTTTGGAAAGTTTGATATTAAGCTATATAGTTTAATATTCAGATAGAGTTTGTAAAAATAATATGTATAATATTCAAGTGCTGTTGGGCTTAGGGCTAAAAGATTAAAATTATAAAGTTTTAAAGTTCGAAATTATTGCACGTGTTATGGATATCAGAAAAATGGCTGAATCTCGGCGAATATGTAATCATAATTTCTAACAAGGGAACTAGATATCCTCTCGGATTTTATCAAGCTGAAAATATATTATAGTGTAAATATATAGTATAATGCATGTTAAAAATATTTAATGTAATTCACAAACATTTGTGAGGGAATCAAAGTGAGTTTTCAATATTTTTGAGCTCACAATAGGCGCTATGACTAGATGCCACAGTCCATCCTCGGCCATTTGCTCCGTTACATGTGTGGTTATTCCAAACTTTAAAATTTGGTAACTCCTTTGACTTATTGGTACCTGAATGTTACATATTATTTTTACAAATTAATGTTAAACTTTATATTTTAATGTCAAATTTTCAAAAATCCGCATGATACCTGAATCTTTCCTTGTGAGTACAAAAAACAACATGTAGCGTTGTCGTGCAGCAAAATGACCTTTCGGTTTCTCAGTAAATGAATCAGTTTCCGTTGCCAAATGATCTTTCCTTTTCAATTTCATCGACCAAATGATTCAACTAAAAATTATTTTTATTTTGACATTTTTCTCAGTGAAACAATCGTTTTGAAAGCGTAACGTTTAGTTGTTAATTTTACAGCATTCATGCCTTTAACACAGAGAAAAGTTTCATTATATATATTTATTTATTTATTTCTTCATAATATTTTTGATAATTTTTTAAATTTTATTATTTATTTTATTATATGGGCTGCGTTCCATTGTTTACTACGAGTACTAGAAATTTATAGCATAGGTAATATAAATTATAGATTTCGAACTTTTCAATGGCAGTGAATAACAGAATGCAGCCATGATTAGATGAAAAATAAATAAAACAATATTGGGTTGAATCTAATATCCAACTATATTTTTCTGGATAGCTTAAAAATTGATCTTACCACTACAGCATTTGGTAACAATTGTTTCACTTGATTGGTGAAGATTGTAAAATAATATACCATTCATGTTCTATCAAATATTCAGAAAGGCCTTTTTGGCATAGCTGTTCAGTTTTGCCCTTATGTTATTAAATTAATATATTATTAAATTATGACATAATATTTCATAAATTTTGATAACAACTCTTCAAAGATGCAAAAAAACTGGAAACTTAAAATTTAAATAATTATACCAGAGGGCTAAAAAAAGACTAAAACTTTTACACATTTAATATACTATTCTATAAAATATTGTATAAAAAATATATTTATAATATACAATATTTTTCTTTAATGCACAAAAAATTATGAATGCAATTACGTAATACAAAATTGTATATTCTGAAATATATCACATAGAATATTACAAAATAATATTTATTTTTTATCTAATATTAGTATTAATTAATAATAAAATGGATAAAAAGAAATAAATATATATAATAGCGCATGGGCTGTAAAATTAATATTACTAGTATCGTACTTTCAAAGCGATATTGTTTCGCCGAGAAAAATATGATAAATATAAATTATTTTAAAAATAAATTCCTATTATTTTATTGATTTTTGCATCCATACATTCTCCTCTTCATTATATAAAGTTGTCCCGCTTTGGATCCGAAAATATCTAGTCATTATGTAAAATAAACGAAACCGTGGATCGTATCCGATCTCCTTTACCATTATAGAATTAATACAAATTTTAGATTTAGATAAATACATTTTATAAAATTAGTAACATTTGAACATGTCATAATTAATTTTTATATGATGTTCTGACATAAAATCTTTTTATGTTACAGAATTAGATGCTTATGGAAGTATGGTTTCTGTTCTACGTGCTCAAGGTCCTTTCACCAACGAAAAACAGAAATTATTGCAAGAACTTGCTAAAGTATTACATATCTCCAATGAACGACACCGTGCTGAAATACGAAGAGCTGTGAACGACGAGAAACTTGCAACAATTGCAGAACAGTATGTATTCTATATGATAGTAAACTTAAGAAGTTTACAGGAAAATAAAGAGATATTGTTTAATATATAAAAATGTTATATATATGAGATTTAATGAAATTATTTATAAAATGAAATTTTTTTTATATCACTGTCAAATACATTGTAAAAGATTGAAAGAACAAAAAGACTTATTCGTTAAAATAATGTGAATTTATTGTTATCCAGACTTAATGGTCCAAATACTGGTATAGATTGGACTCTTGAAGGTCGTCGATCTATTCCTCTTTTGCCAAGATTGAAAGCACGATCTGCATTTACGACATTAGCAAATAGCCTGTCCCTTACCACTACGATTGCAAACAATAAGAAACCTGATAGGTGTAATATTGTTAGACAATCTGAAAATTCAACAGGTTAAATGATAATTATAACAATGACTTGCATATTTATATTTAAGTTATATTAATTAAGTTAATTATATATATATATATATAT